AAAATAAATTTAAAAAGTAATATTTTTTTTTTTACAATTTAAAATTTGAAAATAGTATTAAAAATACAAAGAAGTGTACCTATATATCTATTTCGAGTAAGTTATTGTGACATTATTAACGTGCCTTATTTTAGAACTCAAATTGTGCTTTTATTAAAAGAAAAATATATAATTATATACATAAATGATTTGAAACCACTTTAATCATTGGCAGACCATATGATTTTAGTTCTTGAATTTAAAATCATTTCTGGGATTTTTTTTTTAAATGACATTAACGTTAATTAAGAAACAATATCTATGATTGTTATTATTATTATTATTTTCATATATATAATGCAATCTCTTAGAGTATTATATTCAGCTACTATTTCATTTTATCAAAAAATGTTTTTTTAGATTTTATTTATCAAAAAGTTAGTATTTAATGTTATATTTTATATAAAAAAATATTTAATATGATATTTTTCTTTTAGAAAACAAAAACTCCAAAATTGTCTGTATAAACTAATTAGTCCAAAAAAACAAAATCTTATTTTTTAATAAATCATGGTTGAAAACACCTGAAATAAACTATATATATATATATACATATATATCTAAAAAGTGTACATGAACACATTTATTATTATTTTTCTTTATAACGTAGAATCATCGAACCTAATAGCCTGCAAATTAAATTTGATAAGACAAGTCATATTAGACGAATCATGTGTGACAGACAAAATCTGGAGGCGTCGAAATTTGAACCCATGATCTTACGATCACAAGTTCATACCCACACTATCAGGTCATCTCTTACGGAGCGTGAGCATACTTACTGGATACAAACACTTTCTGTTTGTATATCCAATAATTAATAAACAAGAAGATGTATGTATAGATACAAAATACATACAAACATATGTGGAGGATGACTCACACTCCCCTAATAATAATAATAAATAAAAAAAAAAAAAAAAAAAAAAAGCAATAAAGAGGCCAAATTAACAAAAAGCTAGCAATATAATTGCCTCCAACAATTATATATATAAATGGACAAACTAATCTTGGAAGGAAGCTTAGAGCAATGAAGAAAGAAAAGAAACAATATATCCATATGTCCCATAATGGTAATTATTTATTTGTTTTTTTTATTTTTTTCTATGATGGTAATTAAAGGCTTAAAGCTATGTAGATATATATATATATATATTTTTTTTAATGTAAAAATTCCTAATCGTTATTTTTTGAATATATTTTGAATAAATTTTTAACTAAAATTAAAAATGTATAGTTGTGTAAGAGTGTCCGAGTTAATGTGGTAATATAATTTGTAACCGCAACATAATGAATTCAAATTTTGTTGATACATTTTTCTATCATATTTGTTACATAAGACTTGTTTAATATAACATACCCAAGTGTTATTTATAGGTTATTGGATTGAATTAGAAAAAATAATTATCAATCATGTATTCAAAAAATAATGAAATGCATGCTATTAGGTTCAATCTAGTGTGATTTATTTTGTTGAGCCTAATTTGTAAATTATTAAATTCAATTTTAAATTTATTCAAATTTACCAAATTGTGACGGCGAATTCTTACATTATAAAAAATGTAATAAAATAAACAAATGCAACTCTCACGTCATAAAACAAACAAATAAATAAATTAATAAAATTAAAGCTAAGTAGGATGGAACCCACCCATCACCATGCACATTATATATATATATGTTCATCAATAATATTCTTCCTCCCATTTATTTTGTATTTCTTTTTTAGTTTTAATAATAAGAAATAATTTATATTTCATTTCTTATTCAAATTTATTTTTTTTTATTATTTTTTGTCATTAAATATATTCTTTTTTTTAATAAAAAATACTTCATTCGTCATATAAATGTGTGTTCATTTGACCGAATACGAGTTTTAATAAAAGTGAGTAATAATTATTAATTTTTCCTTTTATAGTAAAAAACAGTACGAAAGCGAAATAATTTTTTACTTAAAAATGAACTGATAATATTTTTCGATGACAACTAAAAAAAAGTGAGCATAGATTTGAATGACGGAGGAAGTACTACTTTTTCTTTATCCAAAAAAATAAAAATTTCTATTTTTACCCCTTTTTGTTTTTTTAACTCATTCAATCCAATATACCATGTTCACTTTCTGTCTGTCTCACATACCATGTGATTTTTTTTTAAAAGAAATATTATACACTTTAATCTTATTTTAAACTTTTTAATTTTTTTTTTAAATTTTAATTAAACTAATTAGTTATGTTAATCTTAATTTATAATTATTTATATTATAGGATAATTATTTTCACTAATAAATTTTTAATTATCTATTAATTGCACTCCTCTTAAAATACCATATCTACAGTGTAGCAGACACGGTGTGTGAGATGGAGGTCGTATAATTTTATATTTCTCCTTTTTTTCAAAAAAAATAAAAATTAAAGATTAAAAAAATTACTCCATATTTAAAATAATTATTGTATATATGCACTTCAGTGCACCCCACTGACCGTACCCACTGCTGTCCATCTTCTTCGTTTCCCACAACCTGGATTGTATTGTACTGGATTGGATTGGAATCTCTATTTATTTTTTTTATTTTATTAATATTAATATTATTATTATATTCAATTGTTTCATCATGTTACTTTTTTCTTTAATGGACCACTGTTTCCTGAATTGTATATTTATTTATATATTTTTTTTATGTTTATGTTTGTTTTCTTTTGTTATTTCTATTTCTGCATTTTGTTCTTTCATTCTTGCCGCTTGTCCTAAAACAAGTAAACAAACTTTATGAGGAGCGGGATTTCGACACCAGATCCGATCCTGTACGTAAATTTCTCTGGCGTACGGTGTAGATTATTGTCTGGAGTTTCGGTCCCAGGAGCTTTTGAAGACCTGCACTTTAATGCCGTGAAAATCTGACTTAGGATTTATCATTATGTAATAATAATTATTATTATTCATAAAAGAATTAACAAAATAATAAAATAATTGTGGATTTTAAAATAGAATGGGTCAATGGACTGATATGTATTTGGGCTGGGCCTTTGACAAATGGGCCTAATACCATATATATTCTATTTAAATTTTGAAACCATTAATTCCAAAACACTCTCCAAATATTGCAGTCCGAAAGTCTTCAGTTATCTTAAAAAAAATATTACTATCAGTCATCTAATTGTGTATTTATTTGATTCGATACAAATTTTTTTAAAGAAATACTCTCCGTTCCAACTTAAAGTATCATTTTTATCATTTTTGTCCGTTTAACTCAAAAGTATCCATTTTATAATTTAGTAAAAGTAATTATACTCCGATACAAAAACCCTTGGTGTGTTTGTTTGTGGGTTTTAGATTTTTTTGTTTGGATTTTTGAATAATAAAAAATTGAATTTGAATAATTGTTTGATAGGATATAAACAGAAGTTGATATGATATTTTGAATATAAAATAAATTTGTAATATAATATAAAAAAAATTAATTGTTTGATGTGATATTTTTGGAGGGAAATAAAAATCTGAATACTAAAAACATGTGATAAAACCACAAAAGAACACAATCTTAACTTTTACTTAAATTATAAACATATAATTACACGTACAATTACTTTTTATATAAATTCAGAGAGAGGGCAAAAATGTTTAATTCTCTTATACATTTCCACTAATTGATATAATACTATTATTTTTTAATTTACTACAAAAATTCAAATGATCCATTTGACCGGAATGGAGAGAGTAGATAAACATTTAAATTTAAATGTAAATTACAATTAAAAAAAATAAAAATAAATTTAAATTATAAATGACATATATTCAAACCGTCACGTTATAGAAAATATAATAATAATAAAAAATAAATAAATTCCAAAATACAGGTATTATTCGTATTGTATTTCCCAGAAATTTAACAGAAGTCGCTATGACACGTGTGCTTTCTTAGTGCTTACAGGTAATAAAACAAGACACGACTTTAGAGCTAAGAAGCCCGTTGAGTTTTCAGCTGACACAATTTTTCATTAATGAATATTGTCAAATTATTTATCAGCTAGTATGTTAGTATTACAAATTTTATTTATTTGTGTCTTCAATTTTATTATCATAATATTGTATTTATTATTTTTTTAAAAAAATATTTTAGTTAATAGTTCATTAAAAATATTATAATAATTCATTTATTAAATTATTCAAAGAGTAGCTAATTAAATAAAAAGAAATTATTAAATCATATAAAAAATACATAAACAAACTGTTCAATTAATTCTATGAGAAAATGAACTACAAACAAAATACTTCATCAATTTGGTTGTGTTTTAAAATTAATTTGAAATAAAGTGTCTGATTTAAATTTTTGTTTAAATATTATTTTGATGTGATTTTTTTTTTTTTTTTCTCGAATTTGAATTGAATTTGATGTTTTTATTTTTTGTATTTAAATAATGCTTCATATAGTATTTTTTTTTTTTTGAAAGAAAAAAAAAGTAAAATACCCCTTATGTGTAAAAATAATAAGTTTGAGCCCGTCACTGAGATTAAAAAATTAATATTTTATTAAAAAATAATAAAAATAAAAAGATAGTTGAAATTATTTTTAAAAATTTAGTTACTAATTAATGATGTGAAGAAAAAAATGTAATAAAAATAGTCACAATTGTAGCAAATAAGCGTTGAGTGGAGTATAATATTAAACTCTAAAAATATGATTTTATCAAAATTAATAATGAGTTAAATTTTATATTCCGACTAAAAAAGAATAGAGTTAATTTAGCGGATGAATATATTTTAAAAAATAAAATAAAAAAAGAAAGTGTAGATATTGAAAAGTCATACCCAATTTGATTTTCAAAGACGTGTAAGCATCCTTCAAATCAATCGGCATTAAAATAATTAATTGAATCATATAATATGAAAATTTCGTACAAATTATTGAAATAATCCACAGCTTCATCGTTACATAAGCTTAACCCTTTTCTTGTAATGAAATATTGATGTCGATGACGAAGAAAACAATTACTACAACCTTATTCTTTGCAATTCACATTCTTCTCGTCCGTTCTTTCCGCGAAAAAACATTGGAAGAATCAGGACCGTTGATCATCCCGATCGGGGTGATCGTCGACCTGACCTCGCGAGTAGGAGCCATGGCCAAGCTCTGTATGGAAATCGCGATATCAGAATTTTATAAGGAACACTCAAATTATAGTACGAGATTGCAACTGCACACCAGAAATGCTGACAATAGCCTTCTTAGTGTCAATTCTTCGGGTAATCTGACATTTATTATCTTTGTTTTTTACTATACAATCCTTACGATTTTATAATTAAACACTATTTTTGCTTGCATAACATTTTGTCCAACTAATTTTAAGCCAAAAATAAAAATATAAATTTTTTGGGTGTATTTGTTTTTATTTAAAATAAAAAGTTATACTATTCCATTCGTGTAATTTTTTTATAAAAAAAAAATAATATTATTTTTTCTCGCAAACATTAAAAAATAAAAAAAAAACAAAACAAAATAAAACTCAATTTTAAATCAATTAAAACCAAACAAACCCTTTGATCTTTAGAACTTAAAAAATACTTAACTTGTTTAGGTTGTATTTGTTTTGTGTTTTGATTTGAAAGATTTTATTTTTATTTTTTTTACTTTGATATATATATTCAACACTTATTATTTTATTTACTGTATATTTAAAATAATGCTTTTTTTTTTTAATAAAAGTAATTAAACACATATTAATGTAGCTAACTTACTTCATTTTGTAGCTTAGTTGACTCTGAATATTGTAGCTTAGTTGACTCTGAATATTGACTTTTAAATACATAGGCTTGCAATAATTATTTAATTGTTGATCATTTTTCATAGATTTGTTATCTAAGATAAGATTAAGGGTGCATTTGGGAATTGACCGATAATTTTTAACTGTTAGCTGGTTTGACTAACTGATTCAATTAACGGTTTGTATTAAAATGTTTGGTAAAATAACTGTTTGACATTAGTTGTTTATACATAAAATGACTATTAAGTACATTGATATGTTATTTTTTAAAATATTTAATTTTGTTCATTTTGGTTTGAAATTTATAAAAAATTTTGTTATTAATTATTGAAAATTATAAAAATATTATAAAATATTATTTTTATTTTTATTATTTAGATATGAAAAAATTATTTTTACTAAAAATAATAATTTTTTATTGAAATTATGTAAAATATAAAATAATAAATCTTTTGTAGTATATTTTTATTATGTTAAGTATTGTTTTAATATATATAAATAAATTAATAACCTTTATTTTTTCTATTTGATTTAGTTTTAAAAATTTAAATATTTTACAAATTAAATATATTAAAAATAATTAATAAATACTGCTATAAAAATATATTTATATGTATAAAATAAATAATTAAGTTTTAAGGGTAAATAAGGAATAATCAAAATTAAAATGAAAAAGCCATTTCAAAACACTGGGTAGATGAGATTTTCAAAAATTAGTTTTTTTGGTCCAAAAAGCTCTTTCAACAAGCTAATTTACCAAACACCTAAATTAGCTTTTTGACTGGTCAAACAAGTAAAAGCGGTTCAATAAACTAAATGCTCTTAAAAAACTGTTTTCCAAACATCTTAAAAAACAAAAAAAAAAAAAAAAAAAAAAAAAAAAAATTAGGTACTTTTCCTTACAGAAATTCTTAATAAAAATCATTGTCGAATATATATAACAAATTCAAATTGATGAAAAAAAAATGGCTTCATTTAGGTTTTGATATTTTGAAAAAAAAAATTAAAAAAATAAAAAATTATAATTTAATGTAATACTTATAAGAATTTTTTTTTTAATATAATATTTTAAATAAATAGTAACAAAAGTTCCAAATGCTTGTATAGATAGAATGCATATATACAATCAATCCAAAACATTAGTAACATGAACCGAGTAGCTATGGCCTTAAATATGAGCACCATGTGTTCGTGGGAATGCCCCAAAGAGCTTCAGTCAATATATATTGGATATAATAAAATATATTTAGATAATCAATATATATTTTGTTAGTTTAAAGTGGTTTTTTATGGTAATTATAAAAAATATATCGATAATATAAAAATTAATTTATTGTGTTAATTATTAATATTTTTTGTAAATTGTTAATATATATATTATAGGATAAATTACAAACAATATTTCATGTACCTCATTATCACTTTTGTCATGTATTTATCTCTTTGATAAAATATATTTTATATGTTTGCAAAAATAGCTATTTTATGTCCTTTGGCCGACGCGGTCACGCGTGAAAAAAAGATATAAATAGCGACTTTTGCAAACATATAGAATATATTTTATCAACGATAGGATAAAAGTGATAATGGAATATCATGTGAAATATTTTTTACAATTTTCTCTATATTATATGTATATATATAATATATTTTTTTAGTAAAATTAATCGCAAAGTAGTTAAAAACATTTTGATGAACACACCCAAATTAAACAAATCTGAAGAATGCAAATGACAATTTTATGCAGCATTGGAGTTGTTCGAACAAGAAAGAGTGCAAGGAATTGTCGGGATGCTATCATCAACAGAGGCAACAACGCTGTTAGCTGAAATTGGGCTAAAATTTCATGTCCCAATCATCTCCTTCGTCTCCATTTCTCATTCAAACAATAGCTATTTGGTGAGGAGAACTCCCGACGATGCTGCAAGAGCAGAGGCACTTGCAGCCATATGTCGAAAGTATCGATGGCCGGAGGTTTCCGTGGTATACGAAGACACATACAACGGCTATAAATTTCTTTCCGACATCACTAAATCACTCCAAAAAGCCAAAATCCGGTTCGCATACGCCGCGGCCATTCCTAGTTCATCTACTAATAAGATCATCATAAAGGAGCTTAAAAAGTTAATGACGAGGCAATCGAAGATCTTCCTGGTGCACGTGAGCCCGCCTCTTGGCTTCCGGTTGTTTAATTTAGCGAAAAAATTAGATGTGATGAGCGAAGGGCACGCTTGGATTACAAGCGATAGTTTATCTATTTTCATGAATTCCGTGGATAGGGCCACCCGCGATTCGATGGAAGGAGTTATTGGCATTCGGCCGTATGTGAAGCACTCGAAAAAGCTCGATCATTTTAAAGAGAAGTTCAAAAGGAATGTGATCTTGGCGAATATTTCGAGCAAAGGTATGGAGCTAAATGTTTACGGTTTATGGGCTTACGATGTTGTGACCGCATTAGCCGTTGCTTTGGAGAGGCTAACGAACACGATTACAAATGGAACCGCACTTCTCAATGAACTTTCGAAGACTAAATTTCGCGGTCTTAGCGGAGAATTCCAACTTATTGGCGGGAAACTTAAGATGTCGGGATTCGAGATATTCAACGTGGTTGGATCCGGGGATCGAACTATTGGATTTTGGACGCCGGAAAAAGGGATAATAAGAGAATGGAGTTCAACCAGCGAAGAAAAACCACTAAAGAGTGCATTGTGGCTGGGAGATTCGAACAAACAACCGAACGGTTGGGACATCCCGAATCACGTTAGAGTTGGGATTCCTTGGAAGGAAGGATTCAAAGAATTTGTCGATGCGAGTACTTGCGATCCCAAAACAATAAGCTCCACGAATGCAACCGGATTTTCGATAGATATCTTCTTGGAGGCGCTCAATGTTTTACCTTTCTCGATCAATTATACATTTCTTTGTTACAACGAGACTAACCACTCGTGGAGCTACGATGACATGTTGCGAAAAATACCACAGGTAACTTGGCATTCTTTCTCTCTGTTGGTTGATTTCATAATATATAAATTATTAAAGAAATGATGCGCATCCCTTTAAACCTAAGTTTTAAGATGAACTGATCATTTAACATTATCGATGTCAAGATTCAAAGTTATTATAATTTGTGTTTATGTGATGAACTTTGTTACTTCTTGAGTAGGAATACGATATGGTAGTCGGGGACACGACAATTTGGGATTACAGAACAAACTTTGTCGATTTTTCACTTCCATATTTGGACTCCGGAGTTGTCCTAGTCGTTAAAAATAAGAAGCCAATCGACATGTGGACTTTTGTAAGGCCATTGCGATGGGATCTATGGTTGGTGATCATCGGCACATGCATTACGCTAGGAATGGTTATTCGATTATTAGAGCCTAATGAGCCCGACAATGGAGTCGATCCCATGGCGACAACTCGAAGAGAGCATCGAAATACCGTTTTATTTTCTCCCATTGCGGTTCTTGCTTTTCCAGAGAGTAAGATTTATCAGCTACATACAACACAAAATCTCTGACAAATAATATTATCAAATATTTTTTAATTTTCTTTCTTTCTTTCTCTCTTCAGGGAATATGGTCTCGAATGCTTGGTCCTTCGTCGTCTTGGTGTTTTGGTTGTTCATGGCCTTTATAATAATGCAAAGTTACACGGCGAACTTGTCCGCGATTCTAACATTGGATCAACTCAAGTTCGCCTTTTCGGACAATTACAACATAGGATGGCAAGAAGGGTCCATCATGACCGAGTTCTTAATCAAACACCTACGCATTGAGCGATCGAGGCTTAAGAGCTATTCTTCGCCAAAAGAATACCACGAAGCGATGTCCAAGGGAACAAAAAACGGAGGCATAGATGCCATATTCGACGAGATCCCTTACATGAGGATTTTTCTCCACAAATATGACTCGCAATACAAAATTTTCGGGCCAACTTATAGAACCGGCGGCTTTGGCTTCGTAAGTTCTTTCATTCTTAATTCATACAAAACCATATGTTAAAATAAAGCATACATAAACATGATCAAAAGTTTTCGCGTCGCAATTTTAATTAGGCATTCCCGAAGGATTCGCGCTTAATTCAACACTTCTCTAAGGCAATACTCAATGTCACTCAAAGTTCAAGAATGACGAGCCTCGAGCAAAAGAATTTTGGACCAGGATACTCGACGCAAGATCCATTTTCTCCGGAGATCTCGCAACAAACTTCGAGCCTTACTCCATTCGATTTTGCCGGCTTGTTCATGATCGTGGGATCAGTGACTTTCTTTGCATTGCTTTGCTCGAAGACAGCAATCGGAAAAAATTTGACAAATATGAGCCTATGCTTGCTCCACAATGTCTTCGACATTTTTAAGACATCGAATGGAGACTCGATAAGAGATGATAGCAATGACGTCGATTCGATAGAAGGAAGAGATGTTGATAGCTTTCAATCGATCAATGGATTTCATATAGAAGTTATTGCAGAAGAAGTGACACAAGAAGAAGGGGATCGAATCCATCAAACTTTGGGGGAACAATAGTTCATAGGAAATTTGGTATGATTAAGGTTTCTAGTTCATTGGTAATAATCTCCTAATTCCTAACCTATGTGAATATCTCAATTAACATATAAAAATATTATAAATAGCATAAGGAAATATAACAGTTATAACATATTATGTTTCTTCTGTCCATTCAAAAATATTATTTTTAATTATATTAAAAGTGATTATATATTAATACCAAAAATATTTATAATTTCATTACGCATATAAATAAAATACAATTTTATTTTACATGTATATTTTTTGTGTTTGCATATTCATTTTTATACTAACTTGCTTCATCGATTAATAATAGACATCTTTTTTAATCATTTAGTACATAAACAAATAATAGATATGTCCCAAATTTGTAATTTTTTAATTTATCACATTAATACAGAAATAGGCATATATAATATACTATTGTTTCTTGTACAAATAGTATATATATTTACTATCGATGGACTGAATGAGTATATTATTTTCAATAATATATTATATTTAGTATTTATTTATTTTATTCAAAATATTGAAAATTAAATATGTTAAATATATCATACTTAATGTAAACTTACTAGTATGTTAGTATTATTTTAATCCCCAACCTAAAATTTTCAAGTGTGCCATTATTGGAATAGATTTGGCCTTTTAGTTTACACTCTCTAGTGATATTGCAAGTTATACAAGGATCGTTATACAGTGTAGGAATTTTTAACTTTTTATTAAAAAAATAAAAAAAAAATCATTTAATAAATTTTAAATTAATAACATTAATAATATAAAAAAATTTACATATGAAACTTTAAAAAAATAATAAAATAATAAATTCTAGGGTTTTCTTTGTATGTGTTTCTTTTAGTTGACAATTGATTTCACTAATTGATAGGGATTGTTTTTGCTTGTATTATTATTATTATTACTCCATCTGTCCAATACGAAGGGTTTATTTTTCAATTTTTGTTCGTCCCAAAATAAAGTTATTATTTTTTAATTTAGTAATTGTACTACCTACCTAACATAATAAATACCCTCCAAACTTACAGTATATTACACAAATGTCACTACCTTTATATTACACAATACTAATAAGAATATTTTTGTCTTATTATTACAATTCAATATAATAATAATATTTAAAAATTTACGTGCAGAAAACAAACGTTAGTCTTTATATGGGACGGGGTGAGTATTATTATTATTATTGGTGGTGTTATGGTCGTTAGTCTTGATGTTGTTTTCATGAATTGAGTTTTTTAATGTAAGATTTGTTTATTTTCTAATTTTTAAACTATTTTTTATTTTTATTTAAAATAATGGACTAGGTGTGATGTTTTTTTTTTTTTTTTTTGAAAATAAACAGTAATGTGTTGTCATAAAAATTTGAATGATTACTGATATTAAAAAAAAAAAAATTAAAAAATAATCAAGTTCAAATAAAAAAGAATATTATATTTTAGAAAAAAAAATAGATAGAATTATGTTATCGGTCAAAATCCTTTTTCGAAGCCTTATCAAATCAAGCCGGTCGAAATTTGAGTGGGTCTTCCGACTTCTTCAAAGAAAGGATCCAAAACTGCATGTTAAATCTCAAAAACTTAATATACAAAAATAGGAAAATTCATTGAAAGAAAATTAATGAGACAAAAATTGGAATTGAACTACATTCCGTCCCAAATAAAATATCTATTTTATTGTAGACACAAAAGTTAAAAATAAGTAAATAAAAGAAAATATATTCATTTAACACAATTTTATACTATTTATTTGACAAAAATTTTAATAAAAATACACTATTTTTTTTCACAAAATATCACATCAAATTTAAACAAAATTCAAATCAATATTTTTTAAAATTAACTTCAAACCACAAACAACCAAATCCACGTGTACATATTTTATAAAATGTCAAAATCATCTCGTTAATGGTCAATACTTCAAAATGATTCCAAATATATATATATATTTATATATATTCTACATGGAATTTTATATTAAGTATATAGTCAAGTATTTCATAGAATTATCCAAAAGAATCTTCCATAATGTGTGTAGTAATTGTATTTTAATAGAGTAGTATTTTACATGCATATTTTATGTATATATATATTTTTTTAAAAATTTTGATACTATTCATTAAAAATATTTTTTTTAACATAAAATACATATTTGTTTCACAAAATTTCATATAAGTTTGGTTTTTTATTATTTTCAAAAAACTTGAAACTCTAAGTTCCCAAAACTTTTTATTATGTTCTTCTGGAATTTAATTTCAATTTTTTTACCATTCAATTTTAATTATATTTTATAAAAATATATTATTTTATATCATAACATATCACATTAAAACAATTATTTAAACCATAACTTAAAATTAAATTACAAAATCAAACTTTAAGAGAGCACTCCACTTATCTAAACAAAATGTTTTGTATATAAAATCTTATACATAATTCTTTATTGGTGTAGAAAATTTTAACTAAGAAATTTTATGCACTTTTTCAATTTTGTTTATATTTCTCGTAACTTTTTGCTTTGTTTTCACATTAAAATTGCTTATAATTTAGATATTTTTGTCCATATAATTCTTCTTATTATTATTTGAAATGTTTTTATGAAGTAATGTTATATGCAACCACAATAAATAAATAAATAAATAAAAAGTATAAGTTATATAAATATAGATGTATATTATAATTAATTGAAAAACATTGAAAATGTCGTCCTAGTTGCAAATTTCATGCATCTTCAACAATATGTATTGAGAATTATTGGGAAAATATATATATATATATATATTATTGAAAATGTCACCCTCCATCAACTTAAATTAATAAATTCAACATTTCTACTTAATTAATTAATAATCACATTTAATCATACTCAAACATGCATTCTCTCTCACACACACACACATACACATTCATTTTGATTATATATATATATATTTTTTTACTATTTCAAATTCAAATTAATATTATTCTTCTATAGAAATAGTGTTAATTTAAACTTTTGTTTAAATAGTATTTATACGCTATATTTTATAAAAAAAATAATACATTTTTATTAAAAATTATGTCAAATAAATATTGTTATTTTTAATTGAAAACGATATACCTATATCGAAGTCTAGTTTTAATTTTTTATTGTCCGACAAATTTATATATAGCCTATTTATAACAAATAATTATATTAACTCATAATTTTATTATTTATATTTTCATAAACAATAATCCTTTTTTTACTATATTTAATTTGTATTATTATTTTTATTAATTATTTAATATATTTTTTTACAATATATTTACTCTATTTTTTTTTTCAATTAAAATAATATTATTTTTAAAATAAAGTAACATTAGAAAGCCGGACGTATATAATATATATATATATACATATAAATTAACAATCTTTTTATTTTTAAATTGACCATTCAAAACTTCCACGTTGCAACCTTCCAATACAACTTCCCAAGAAATTTACAAAGAAGTCGCTCTCCAATGCCAATATGATTAATAAAAAAACAAAACACGACTTTAGAAGTAAGTAAGTCCCAAATCATCAATCAAACATATAAATATTTATTTATATATATAATTTATAGTTGAATTATTCATTTATTTTTACTATAAGTGGAATGTAATACTATACTGATCAAAATATATTTAAAAGTTAAATATATTGTAAAATAAGATATTTGTTACTAGCAATTTAAGACGAAAAATAAATTTATTTGACGATCTATATGATTATCATACATATTAAATTATGAAATAGATGTATCGATCATAAACGACTCAAAATAGTAAAATTAATTTTACTAATCAATAGAAATCCTCTCAACATAATATTTTGTAACATAAATATGTTATATGTACATTGAATCATGAAATATAATATCACGTCAAATATTTAATTTTTTTTATTATTATTAAATCTTTCAAAAACCCAAAATTTTTAAAACTTAATTGCAAATTGTTGCCGGTAGATTCTTGAAAAAATAGATGCAATTTTTTAAAATAAATAATTTTATGGATTTTCTTAGACTTCATTAAAAAATAGGTATTATTGAAAGGAATATTTTGAATGAATTAAAAGCTTGAGGAGCAAGAAAACTAAGCAATACTAAATTGGTAGTGACGGTGAATGTCATCCTCATGTTTTGGAGATATTATTTATTTGAATGAATCAAGGTAACATATAAAAATATTAAATTAATTAGTGTTTACTATAAGAAGACGACCCTTCAAATTAATGTGTAAAATAAATCAATACATATATGTATATTTATTTATATCTTATTCAATTAAATTAATTTCACTTAAAAAAAAAAAAGGTTTATTTGGTTCTGCTCTGATTTTGAATTATTTATTTAAATAGTGTTTTATATATTTTTATAAAGAAATAATAAATTTTTTTTATTAAGAATAGTATCGATTGAATAATAATAATTATTATGATTTCAACAAATCGTGGTAAACATATAAAAACACACGGTACAAATAATAATAAAAAAAATCATATAAAGACTACATAGAAACACATTATTATGTTTTTCTACTATGCAACTATAGTAATTTTGTATTTTTAAAAAAAATAGATATGGTTTCTTATTATAAAATATTATAACAAAAATTTATTTAAACAAAAATCAAATTAAATCAAACTTTTAAAAAATACATTTTATTTTTCTCAAAATTCGAAATAATAGATTGATTTGTGTTAAGCTAGGAATCTAAGAATATTGATACTCTCTCCGTCTTATTTGTAATGAATTAAAAAATAATAATATTTTATAAATGAGTGAAAATGTGTAAAAAATTTTGATATTTTTATCCAAATTTTTGTATTAGTGTATGATTATTTTTACTTTAAAAAAAATATTTTTGGTGGAATAGAAGAAAATAGTAAAAATAATATTTTAAATTGTGATTAAGGGAGTATTATATTAGTAGTTAATAAAAAAATATGAATAATAGATTTATTATTATTTTTTTTATTGTGAGTGTGTTTTAATTTAAATGTAGAAAGTAATAATATCGTATTATAATAATAAAAAAACATGAGTAATTAATGGTGATATAATTATTTATAATAACAAAATTATTATTTTGGGATAAAACGAGTATTATATAATTTCATAATTCTTAATAAAATGTACATATTTTATGTTGGTTGATTCCCCCGTTTGTAGATAAATGTACAAATGACGCGTATTCCTAAAAGTTTAAATTTTTAGATGAGTCGATCATTTACATCATCTAACATAGTGTATATCGTTTAATATTTTAAAATATTAAATGTGATGGTTTTATCAATAATAGAATATATTGTATTTAATTTTTGGAATAATAATTACATAAGTAACAAATTTATATATCTATCATATTACTTCCTTTTGTAAAAGAACAATTACATATTTTAATATCATTTAAATTTTTTTAATTTATATTTTTATTTTAATTAAATTAATTAAAATTTTTATTTATTTATATTATATAATAATTTTTTTTACTATTTATTAATTACACATATCTTAAATATTTCTATGTGTGTGGATGCCTTTGTGATGACAGGAGGGAGTATGAGTTTCTACTATATATATAACTTTTTTTTATATTTCAACAAAGTTTATATAATTTGATATAGTTTTTATATAATTTTACGTATTTTATATGTTATTTAATATACTCTTCATCATTCAAATTTATGCTTATTTTTCTTTTTGGGTTGTTATTGAAAAATATTCTCGTTACCTTTTTAAGTAAAAAACTATTACATTTGTACATTTTTTTACTATAAAAGAAAAAAAGTAACCATTACTACTCACTTTTATTAAAATTTATGCCCGATCAAATGAGCACACATTTGGATGACGGAGAGAGTATTAAATTTCTTGCAATTCATTACTACACACTTATCTGTCACCATTAATTTTTAATAATAAGAAATTAATTATCAACAATGGGGAGATTCCATGGTGAAGTTTTCAAACATGAAGACCCAATCCCACTTGCAAATAATCATATATAATCCAATTTCTATATATATAATCCAAGATTGAAATTATATGTTTTCAATTTATTTATTTATTTTTCAAATATTTTTGAAACTTTTAAAAATGGGAATATTTGTAATCTTCCATATTTATCACTCTTGTAAATAAATAGATAGATATGTTAGTAGTATTTTTCTAGTGTTCAAGAATAATATATTTCCTTCAAAACTATCAAAATTACATTTTCATTTAATATATAATTCATTTCTTCCCAAATATATGCAATATTTTCCTCTTTGTTATATATCGAACAATATGCAATATTTCCAAAAGAATAAATAATTAATTACACTTAATTTTTATACCACACTTTATCACATCACATCATTTAAATAGAAAAATAAAATATATTTTTTTTCTCCAATTACATCGTCTAATTCCCCAATTATCATATTCAATACTATTCATCTAAATTCTCGTGTAAAAATTAAATGTTGCATTATGTTCGAGACGAAAGAAATACTATATTCAATAAATTATTTTTTCATTTAATTTAGACAATTGAAATTCTTATAGTCGATTTTGTGACAAAGTAGAAATAAGAAGACATCCCTAAAGATAACTTGCTAAAGTCTTGGTTGACTCTCTCTCTCTCTCTCTCTCTCTCTCTCTCTCTCTCTCTCTCTCATATATATATATATATATACACAAGTAATATGTATATATAAGAGATATATATTGTGGGAGTAATACATACAAAAAATTGAAGTTGCTGATCATCAAGGCATGGTAAACCCTAATTTTAAAATTAATCGAAATCTAGTAGCTCTTCTTCTTGTCTGCTTGATCTTCTTGAACTGTTCTTCGAGCTCGTCCTCCCATGGCGGCGGAAACAGCTCATCATCATCATCAGAGCAGAAGCAGAAGAAGCTGACAGTGGTAGGAGACATGAGCTCCCCCTTTGGTAAAATGATGAAGTCGTGCATGGAAATGGCCATTTCAGACTTCTACTCTGCAAATCGCCATTACAACACCACACTACAGCTCTCCACCATCGATGCTAAATCCATGCTTTCTTCCAATCTTGCCAGTAAGTTTCTTTTTCTCTATTATTTTCTTCTTCTTCTTTTTTTTTTTTTTTTAAAAAAAATTCAATTTGCTGAATGATTGATAGTAATGGTTGGTTTGTGTGAGTTTTTCGATAAGAATATACTATCTCCTCCGTAAAATTTGAAAGTAAATGTTTAGTTTTTTTTACGGATTTAAAAAATAATAAAATTTTAATTATAATGAATAATTAAAACTAGCATAAGGATAAATTATTTTTACTTTTTTTTATATAAAAATAATAATGTAATGGTAAAATATAGATATTAATAAAAAAAGAAATTAAATAATTTAAAATAAAAATATATATATTTAATAAGTGGTCGAAATGAGTATTATTTTTTTTTTAGCATAAATATTAAAATAATTTTTAAACCAAATCTTCAATTCAAATCAAAACCAATTAAACAAACACATTGGTTGTGTTTAGTTTGACTTTTTATTTAAAAAGGAAAACAAAATTTTAAAAATTTTAATAATAATATTTTTTTTTTATTTTTACAAAATATAATATTAAATCACTGTTACACAAACCAAAATCAAACAAACCCATGCTATTCAACACTGAAAATGTTTTTGCTTTTTTTTTTTTTTTTTTTTAAGATATAATAGTAATTGACTATATTTTTTAATTTGTTAACCGTAGATATTTTTTTTATTTTAGTTTTGTTGTAAGTGAGATAGTAAGTGAATATAATATTTAGAATAAAAATATGTTGAACATAATTGTTTAGAGAAATTGATGATATTAAACAATAAAAATTATACAAATTCAATTTTTTATTATTTAAAGTTCAAATCTAATTGAAGTTAATAGGCCGGCCGACCGTCCGTCGTTTTGTATAGGTTTCAATTTTCGGAATCCCTAATTTTCAGAAGATTCTTATCCAATCTTGGAAGAAAGATTTTGGTGCGTGCCCGAAATCCTGTAATGTTGCTTTACAACTGATATAAGAGAGAAGAAAAGTATGGCTTTGATCCTCGCAGCTGAGGCAAGAGTTTCTGCAACGGCTGCACGCAAGGTGTTTGTTGAAATGCCTCAACAAGAAAATGGAATTTTTTTGGCTCATTCAGTTGAAGAGAGTTGTGAAGGGACAGAACGAGAGAAATTAGGGACAAAGGTTTATCAGAAAGATGTGGAAATATATATGTATTACATTAGATTGAATTTTCCATTTGATAGCTAGAGAAAATGGAGATGAAGATGGCTGAGAAGAGCATTGAAATTTTGGTCTTGAAGGAGACAAGAAAACATTTTTGTTGAATGTGTTCTTTAAGGTTACATAAAGGCTATGTAGGAATCGAATTACCGAAAGTTTCGAAACAGAATCCTCGATTCTTTCGAAATGGAATCATCATTTAATACGTTGAGGTAATGCAATCGCGCAGCGAAGTGAAGTTTAAACGTCGATTCGCCAAACAAACAGTTCTTTTAGAACCACATTATGCATCTCTTTTGCTGATTCAGGTAACTTTACAAAAGTAAAATTAAAAACTTACTGTCTAATGTTTGTGATGCAGTTTTGGAGTCAGCCAAGCGTGGAGAAGTAGTCGGCGTAATTCAGCCTCTAGAATCGTCGCAAGCAGAAGCATTTGCCGCAGCCGTGGGGAAAAGCCTTCGCGTGCCGATAATTTCCTTCACTGCACGAAGCTCGGCTCCATCAGATGCTCGAAACAGCTACCTTGTTAGGACAACATTGGATGACGCCGTACAAGCGCAAGCGCTCGCGGATATTTGCAAAATGTTCGAATGGAAGAAAGTTATACTTTTGTACGAAGACGCCGGAAGTGGAACCCAATTTCTTTCTCGGACAATTAAGTCGTTCCAAGATGTCGATATCCGATTGGAGCGAATGAATTCGATCCCAACAGCAGCAGAGGATCGCGATATCTTGAAAAAGCTCGACGATTTGAAGAAGGAAGAAACGAAGGTTTTCGTCGTCCACATGAGTCCTGCGTTGGGCTTTCGATTCTTCAAGCTTGCGGATGCTTCTGGAATGATGAGCAAAGATTACGCGTGGATCATCACCGATAGCTTATCAATTCTCCTGAATTCGTCGAATTTTAACGTCGATGGTTCCATGGATGGAGTTCTTGGGATAAGACCTTACGCTTTTGCCGCGAAACGTTTCGAACAAAGATGGAAGAGGATCATGCTCGGGGAATTGATGAATTCTTCGATTATGAAGGTGAATATCTACGGTTTATGGGCATACGATGCCGTAACGTCGTTAGCAATAGCCGTGGAAGAAATTGGCTCGACGAACTCCAGCTCGTCGTATGGTCCAAGGCTTCTCCGGAAGCTTCTAAGAACAAAACTCAAAGGCTTAACCGGGAATTTCCAACTCGTCGACGGAAAATTGAAGCCGTCGCTGTATGAGATTTTCAATATCGTCGGAACGGGAGAGAAGCGATTGGGATTTTGGACACCAAAGAGACGAATCGTAAGCGATTTACGAGGCTCCGGTGCTTCAACAGACGGACTTCGAAAGATTGTGTGGCCCGGAGATTCAGTAATCGCACCGAAGGGTTCGAGAATCCCGGCAAACGGAATATTACGTGTCGGAATTCCATGTAAGCCCGGATTCAAAGAGTTCGTCGACTTGCCATTCGATGATCCCGAACATAACTGCAAAAACGCAACTGGATTCGCTATGGATATCTTCCGGGAAACATTAAAGGTACTACCTTTCCCGGTGAACCCCGAATGCTATTGCTATCACGTTAATAGATCGACGGGCAAGACTTACGACGACATGCTTCGTAGAATTCCTCAGGTAGGCATCGATTCTTCGAGCATTTTCTTAAACGAGCGTTTCGTTTTGCTTATTTTCATAACTATGGTTTTACGTATGTTGATAGGACTACGATATCGTCGTAGGAGAGACTACGATCTGGTCTCCGCGGACAGAATTTGTCGACTTTTCACTACCATATTCCGAAACCGGAGTTGTTCTTGTTGTTCGAAACCGGAGGCCACTCGATATATGGATTTTCATCAAGCCATTGAGATGGGATCTTTGGCTCGCGATTATCGTCGCCTGCGTTTACATGGGAGTTGCGTTGCATATTTTGGAACGACGAGCGATTGTTACGGATGAGCAAGCGACTAGACCTCGACCCGGGTTGATCAATTGGTCTCCGATCGCAATTCTTGCTTTCCCCGAAAGTGAGTGTCGAATCCTACTCTCTTTTATAGCCGTTTCACAACATCTCATAGAGTCGTATGTTCTTCGTTTCTGTCCATAGGGAATCTTGTGTCGAACAAGTGGTCGGTTTTCACGTTGGTTTGTTGGATTTTCATGGCGTACATACTTATGCAGAGCTTTACAGCGAGTTTGTCCGCGATTCTAACGGTCGATCAGTTGAAATTCGCGTTCTCGGAGAATTACTACATCGGCTACCACGACGGCTCCTTCTTGGAGAGCTTCTTGAAGGATCAGCTGCATATAAACGGAACACGGCTCAAGTCGTTAGGTTCGCTCGAAGAATTCGACGATGCGATGATGAAAGGAAGCAAAAACGGCGGCGTGGATGCTATAATCGACGTTGTTCCTTACATGAAGCTCTTCCTTAACAAATACGAGCCCCGGTACAAGAAAGTCGGGCCGACCTATCGAACCAACGGTTTCGGATTTGTAAGTTCTCGCCATCGTCGTCTCTTCACTTATATCGAAATTTTGGCATCGTTTGACATATTCGATCTTTAAAACGCAGGCTTTCGAGAAGGGATCTCCGCTCGTACAACACTTCTCGCGGGCTATACTGAATGTTACGCAAGGTTCGACGATGAACAATCTCGAGCAAAAGAATTTCGGGCCGGGATATTCTTCGCAAGATCCAATGTCGTCCGAGTTCTCGCAAGGGAACTCGGAGCTTACGCTTCGAGATTTCGCAGGATTATTTCTTATCGTAGGATCACTTACTCTGCTAGCCCTGTTCTGCTCGGAGACGTCGATCGGACAGAAAATGAGCGGCGCAGTCGAACGTCTGATCGCAAATAACTGTACATGTTCGACCGTGCAAGTACATTCCACGGTGGAAATTAGCGTCACCGGAGATACAAATCACGGTGAAGGGGACAATAGCTGCGAATCAGACAACCCCTTCGACACGTCTCAACACAACCACGACGAAATCGAAACACCGGCGGCGACAACCAACGAGGTTGTTATAGTTGCTTTAGAAGTCGAAAATGGCAACAATGCAGTCTAGTTTGTACATTATCAACACTCATGTTACAATCCAAAGCCTGTTATACGATGTCCGATTCTTGCAAAGAATAATTCAGCACAGTATGTACAACGAGTGGGTTGAACGCTAGTCAGCTCGGACCATAACGGATTGGTGCGGGACTCTCTTGATTTCGACAAACGCCGAGAACTCATTGTCCAACGGCTGTTTCCATGGCTCGCCGTCCATTTGCATGTACGCTCGCTCCCATTCGCCTCCCCTGAGCTCGAACCGTATCGCCGAGGCCTATATAAGAATTGTAGTTCTCATTTTGTTAAATATCGATTGAAAGTACCAATCATGTCAAGACTTTAAAGTTACATTTCAGGTTATCAGTTCAATCCGAAATCCGACCTGATCTAACCTGAATTCTTTCAAATTCAGATCGATCTGATTTTTAAAAAATCCAAACCGCCTAAACCTAAAAATATTCAAGTCGATCAGGTCCGAGTTTTCGGGTTATGTTCAATCTAACTTAAGTGTGAATAACTCGAACAACGCTATTACGATACCTGGGCGATGTGTTTTGCGGATATCAGTTCGACCATCACCATCGAAGCGTGCCACCCGTGTTTTAAGCCGAAGATTTCTAGCAACCCATCATCGGTGTGGGCCTCGACAAATCCTCTCTGTGAAATGAATTAAACGAAAAATGGATCAGCTTGCAAGCTATTTGGATTAAAAGAAGTTCGATCTGATGGGCTCGATACCTTCTCTAGATAATCTGGCCGCAAACGTCCCCATGGATGTCGACCACTGCCATAGCTTGGGAGATTGAGAGCAACAATAGATCGAACGCTGTGAAGTTTTATGGAATTTGGGTTAGTTTAGGAAGCATCGGCATTAATCAGAGGCGAAGATAAAGTCGTGAAAATACCAACCTTGAAGGGACCGCAATCTTCTCCCACTTCGAACAATTAACCTTCTTGACAAATATCCTCAAAATGTTCTTCAAAGATCTGAACCAACAAAATCAAGCGAATTAGTTTTTGAAAAGATGTAAGCAGCAAGCGGAAGGTGAAGTTGGGACCTTAATCCCGGATTGCTGCTGCACGGTGTGAAGAACCATCCTTGCATGCAACTGAATCCCGAATATATGATCTGCATTCGAGATAACAATAAATTCATAATCGTAATACAATCTCGACTTAGAGAAGAACGTAACGTTGAAAAATGAAAAACTTCCGCGCCTATTGCCAAGAAAGAAGAGTTTTCACCTTGTTTGAGACGGGACCCCGAGCGAGGTAAGGTTTATCGTTGCGTAAATGGTGGAAGTCGTATGCAACTTGGGCATCCATCCCTTCATTAGCATAGCACAGTCAATTTCTTCAATCCGAACACAAAATAAAACAAGAAAAGAAGAAAAATTTGAAATTCGAAGACTAACCGATGCTGAAATAATTATAAAAGACTCCTTGATAGCAAGCAACTTTCTCCGGAAGCTCCCCTTCGATAGCCAGCTCCTGCATTCGTCGTGAAATTCAACAAACGAACAAAGTGTACGAAACAAAAAAAGTGAAAAAATAAAAAACATATATCTAAACCTGATCGAGAAGTGTTTCTTCCGTCGCCTTCAGAGAGTACGGTACCTCCAGCTCCTCCCCACCCGGCATTGATATTAACACATGCCAACTGCACTAACATTTTGATTCCTTAAAGCATGTAAAGAATTGACGGGAAAGACTATTAGAGTTAATACAGAGATGGCACTTCACCTATCAAGATGAGCAATAGAACCGTGCGCAACCTTTTCAAGAATTCGCTTCACGGCAGATTTCCAATTGAAAGGGAAAGAACCACCCTGAAAGAGAGTTTCAAGAATCATTCGAAATTTCCGAGACGAAAAGGAAGCATACAATAAAAGCTCACCCAACCGAAACTTCTGGCCAAGTCATTTCCAGTACCGAGCGGAATAACTCCACTCGGCGGAAGGGGTAGCCTCCCCTGTTTGTTAAGGTCGCCAAGGCACCCGAGAACCCAGCCAACGGTACCATCACCTCCCGCGACCTGTCAAAGACTATATATTTGAAGTTTTTCTGTTGCAATTCTTCTTAAATTTTAAAAAAACCCGTAGAAGTAAGCACACATTATCAATGAAGGATGTTATGTGTATATATATGTATATATATATATATGACAAATGTATTCGAGGAGTAAACAAGTATACCACAATCCTAAGCTTTTCGCGGGTTTGTTTTGCACAGTTATCTCCCCGAGCAGCGAAATTCTCTAGGCAAGACAATCCATACTGAACAAATTCATGAGGCTTCACGGATTGCAGGTCGAATACCTGCCGGCATTCAACAAGATACATTAAACACAATTCGATTAGCCAGACACTTCCATCTTAACAAACTTATAAATGTACATTAACAATAAGGATGATGTATCGAAATCGAGGAAAAAGGTCTTAGTTCTAAAGGTGTGTTTGGTACAGAAAAATGAAGACAACAGAATATAGAGATAATCTCATTTTACAATTTTTAATGTTTTTTACTATCTAACTTTTATAATTTTTACTAAAAATAAATTTTATTGCATAAAATATCGATATTTAAATTACTATTCAAAACTAAAATTAAATAAAAATTCACTAACTAAATATACTAATGCTTATTTGCTAAACCATCTATCAATTGCTTTGCTAATACATTGTTTCCTCCAAATCTATTCTTAGATTTACCCAAAATAATAATCAATTCTTATTTTTAATTGAATTCTCTCTTTTACAAAGAGATGACTCATTCTTTGTTTTTATTGATTCAATTCTCTATTCCAAATAAGCTCTAAGCTTCGATTCATTCTTTGAAGGAACATTGCTTTAACAACTATGGAGTTTAATTCGATTTGCGAAGAATTACCTATACATGAACACTACAATCACTTCAATTAGCTTGAGAGATTCTGAACTTCATATTAAGCAAAACAAATGCAATTGATTCATAGATTATTCCCAAATACTCATTGCTTCAAACAAGCTATCTCAAAATTGAATCAACTTAAACTTGAGTGCACTCGAGCTAAACATATCAAGTGAATTGTGAAGAACTCAAAATCCTTAAAAACAATGGATAACTAATTCGAAAAAAAACCTAATATGAAAAAGGGGAAGAACTCAATTCAGCCTCAATCGATAAACAGTGAATAAAACTAAAATAGAATCGGGAAAGAGTATTATTCAGAGGAATTAGGCATCGAAATCACCTGCTCTTCGCCCATGAGTTCCTGCAGCCGAGCCATGAGTTCGGGGCCGTGCCGGCCGCCGCTTTTGGAGTTAATAAAAACCACCATCGGCCACTCCGGCGCCTCCGGCGGCTCCTTCCCTTCGCCGTGGGCGTCGTCGTACAGCCGCGTCACGGAGGCAGCGGTTAGATCCCTGGCTCGAATCGCCTCTCTCATGGCGAGGCGGAGGTACTCAGGAAACGTGACCTTCCTCCGGAGCTCCTCCTTGTGGATGCGCACGCCGGAAAGCGTGACGCCGCGGAGAGACTCGATGGTGGAGGAGCGAGCCGTACCCGTTCTCCGGTCTTCGGGGGTCTCCATAGGTGAATTTCCGATATCGTCCTTCTCTACCTTCCTCCGACGAAATTGGGGCTGGAAAACGACGGAATAACGAGAAATAGGAAACGGACGGGTCAATCAATTGCCGGCGTGGAACATCTGGTGCGTGGCTGCGATCTCAGCTGGCATTTCGTCGTCTTCAGTGGGTGTGGAGCATCGAGTTTGGATTTTGGACTCTGGAAGAATAGAATAAAAGCATACGCGGACATGACGCGGAAATTCTTTTCAAAACTTTTTCAGATTAATTTTATTAATATCTAAATTAAATTGTTTAACCAATATTTTATATTAAAAAATAATCCTATATTATTCGATTTAGAAAAATTGTACTCTTCGTCCGAATAAATAAATAAATTTCATTGGAGCCGGCGAGGAGATGTTTTTTGAATTAATAGTTTAGGGTATTAGTAAAAGATGTACCGAAGAAATAGCTAAAAGGTTAAATATTTAATGCTGTGAAAATTAATAATTTAGTAAATTTAACGGACAAATAAAAATAAATAAATATATAGTAAGTATTTTATTTGATTGTAATTTAAGGTAATGATCACTCATATGTTACAGTTGATTAGATCAAATCAGCATGTCAAATGTCTATAAAAAAATATCAATACAATATATAATATATATTTGAATAACACAATTACAGGTAAAAATATATTTTTATTTCAGCAAATTGTATTATAATTTACAATCCAATCACCAAATGTATATAAAGAAAGAAACAAATATGAATATAATACACATCACATTATATAACACAACATATGTTATTCATTGTGACAGGCAATGTGTTAATTTGATAGTACGTTGTTTGTTTTATAATGATTTATTAATTATTTTATATTAGTTTGTTGATTGGATCAAATCAGCACGGTCATTAACTGTGTCTTATATAATATTCTAATGTAATATTTTATGAAAAAATATATATTTTTATTAAAAATTGTGTAAAGCTAAGAAGAATGACAAAATAATATTTGTTGTCTTACATCATTTATACTCCCTTAGTTCCAACTCAAAGTATTTTATATTTTTGAATTGTTGTTTTTTTTAGTGAATAAAATATATTTATTATATATATTGTGTTAATATATGTGGTATTTTTTAAATATTATACTATTCGTCTCACTTAATTTTAATTTATAATTATTTTTACTAATATATTTTTTAATTATTTACTAATTACAAAATACCTAAAACTTTATACACAGCTAGAGTGAACAAATTAATTGGAATGAAAAAATAATATTTATAAAAAATCTTTCGTTTTTTTTTTTTTTTAGAATAATCCAACGGCTGAAATCTGGTAACTCCTTGAATAAGTTAGATAAAATGTTATTAAATGAATTCGGAGGGCAGAAGTTTCTTGGCGTTGGCCTATTCAAATATTAAGAAAGTTTCTTTAGGTGGATTTTCCTTATTTTTACTATTTATTTATATAATTTAAAATGTGATTTTTTAGATTTAACTTCGATTCGAATTTTTTATGTTACTATATTCAGACAAAAACTAAAAAAAAAAAAAAAAATATATGTATTTAGTACAAAAATAAGATAAGTAAAAATAAAATATGAATATTATAAAAAAAAATGAAAAATTAATAAATAGAAAAATAATGACAATTATTTACTACTGATTTATAAAAATAATTAATTTATATATATATATATATATATATATATAAGAAATACTAATAAAATCCAATTCAAAACTCTCAAGTCTCAAAAACACGGCCAAACATCATTTTTTTCCAAATGATTATTGGGCTGTTGACTTGACTTAGACTAGTTTTTATTTTCCTATTTCGATTCTTATGAAATATTTATATTTAAATAAATACATGTGAAAAAAAAAGTGTTGGATTAAAATATCTGTCTGATAACTCTACTTATAATTCAGTCTCTATTTGAAATAAATTAAACTGCAATCTCTATTTTATGGATTAGGTATGTTATAACTCCTCAATTGCCCTAAATTAATGTTGTATACGCAACAGGTATTCGAAATAGATTGATCAATACTATAAATGTTGTAATAAATATCTATAGTATTTATCGTTCTACCCCCATTATAATTTTATATACTTCTAGTTAAATATTGTATATTTTTTTCGCGAATTAAAAAAATAGAAACAATTATTACCCACGATTTAATAGGAGTTGAGACAGGAAATCTCTCATAACTCATCTTACCTCAATTTTAAACCTTACATCTTCTATCTTTAGGTAAACCGACATTCTCCAACCCCTAGCGAGCAAGTATTGACCGACCGGTGCAAGAAGAGTGAAGAAAATAACTGACCTACTCATATTTCCTGACAAGCTCGAAGAAGCAAGTGTCTAGTCGAAATTTTTTGATTTTTTATTTTGTTGACATTAGTATTTTATACCGTAATTTGTTTGATTACTTGAGATGTAAGTCTTGGTCCCGTGTTTGTATATCTCGGTTCGGTGTTGAGGAGCCCTGGGTGATTGGTGTAGTTGTGTTTGTTAATCAAGTTTGAAATTGTTCATATATTTGCCCACGTAAATCGGGTTGGGTGTTTTATTTTCGCACCGATTTGGATGATTTTATTTGCTTAATCTGTGATTTTTGTAAATTTTGTAAATGTATATCCTTTTAGTTATCCGGAGTTGCATATTTTAGTTTTTTGTTTGATTGTTCAGTAATTAGTCATGTTTGTGGGTTGACAAAAGTGGTATTGTTAGGTACCCCAAGTTGTATCTTTTAGGTCTAGTATGCTAAGAGTATACTTTTAGGGGACTACTATGAATTCGAAATATATTGTTACATAGTCTTGATAGATTCTGATAAATTTTTAAATAGATTTGAGATTTAGGTAATATAGATTGATGATATTTATTTACAAAGCGTAGGTCGGGTTGTGCTTGAGTGCAATTCACTGCGTGATCCATTCAGACAAGGGAATGCGAAAAAATTAGTGCGTTTACAAAATAAATATAATTAATTAACCATGGATAAACCAAATTACGTAACAAAATATTGTGTTATTTTTGCAGACGTATTTTTTTTTTATACTTGTACAGTTGTACCTGATCGCCGTACACCTATGGCCCATGGTGAGGAAAACGCCCGAATATGTAAGATTTCAGCATCAAGGTGACACTCTCGGCTGCAATCCTTTAGTCCGCATGTTCGCCGAAAGTTATGCCCACGAGAATCCGGCAGTCCATCCCATTGGTGGTATTGGCAGCGAGTTTGATAACGTAAAATGCTACCACAGTAAAATTGCGGCCAAAATACTTAATGGGCCATCCTCTGAACCGTAGATTCTGATTAGTAGCGCAGAGCAAGTTAACATCTGTAATGAATTTAGGATTGATATGAGTTATGTTATTTGTGTTTGGTTTGGGTAATATGTTATTTTCAGATTGAATTGTTGGTTGAATTGGTTCGATTGGTCTCCAATTGATGAGATTGTATTAAGATTGATTAAGGGATTGTATTAAGATTGATTAAGGGATTGAATCGTGGGTTGAATTTGGTGAAACTTAATCTTTGGAGTAATGTTATCAATTGTGCTATGAATGGTTGTGTGATTAATTCTTCACATAGTTAGAATTGCAATAATGCACATGATGTACCTCAACAGGAGATCGATGTTCCCGTCTAATTAGATCAAAATACCTTCAAAATACATATATGCGCATATATATGTTACCCATTAGTTAAGAAGGTTATCCTTATACAAAGACAACAACGAGCCAAAAAAGTTATGCATGCTTCTCTTAAATTTGAATTAAATAATTTATTACAAGACGTTGCAATTGTTGAAGAAGTAATGCTTGAAATGAACAAAAGTGCATTTACTGATACTTGAGTACATTAGTGGTGCATCTAAAAAAGAAAAAATATATATATACTGCAAAGGTTTATACACTCTCAATCGTTGTCATTTCTCTCAACCACCAATGAAGTGAAAAAATGCTAATAGAAGAAGTATTTTCACTGAGTTCCTTAATTGCCTCATATGTCAAGGGATTGAATGAAGTTGACCACATTCAAAGTTACCTGCTACTATATAAATAATATCTAAGTAGCCAACAATAATATATTGATTGTCAATGCTCGTACCTAGAACATATTGTTACATACTGCATTAAATATCAAAATACCCCGGGGTAGTCTTTATGTACCTATAATACGATCTCATATGCTTCAGTAATGAGTATCTATGCCCTGATAACTTGTTCTTGGAAACAGATCATTCTGCATTCAAAACATTCAATTGTTGTCGGTAATCATAAATGAATTCATCATTATAGTGTTCTCATGAATCCTATAATTATATGAAAGATAAACAGCACATATTTACTACGGATTAATAAACAATATAGAAAATACTTAGTTGGAATTACGTTGAAAATATAAAAATAATACGAGTTCTAGGATGCAATCTATTATGCACCAATATACCCATAGTTCCATTATAGTCCAAACAAGTCTCATTCTTATATAATTGTATCATTGAAAGTAAATTTAATCTCACAAAAATACTACTGACACAATCAATAATTTTAATAAAATAGTCTTGAAAAGCAATATATACTCACATGTTAATGGTAAGCGAAGATGAATTAAACAAGATAGAAATTTTTACAAATTTTTGGAGGGTATTAGCGTGCAAATAGTACATGTTTACAAGAATCCAATGGGGATGAATTAAACAAGATAGTATATTTATCAATTTATGGAAAGTATTAACATGCAAAGAGTACATATCCTAAATTAGATCCAGTCCTTCAAAAGATTAGATTAATCTTGTGTCATTGAAAGTAAATTTAATCTCATAAAAATACCATTGACACAATCAATAATTTTAATAAAATAATCATGAAAAATACTATATACCCACAGGTTAATGGTAACCGGGAATGAATTAAATAAGATAATATTTTTATCAATTTATGGATAGTATTAATATGCAAAGAGTACATGTCTAAAAGAATCCAACAAGGACACACCATCATACATTATTGCTCCCACGGATTGATTGTTAGTTAAACCTATTATATAGTAATTCATATGGTAGCACACACAACAACATTATGTCCATCGAGGCTGAGAAAGGAAATGTTGTCACCGAGTTCGCGAATCAGTCCCTCTGCATAGGATTGAGTGAAATAAACTAAATTCGAGGATACCTAGTACTACACAGATA